GCCAGGCTGGATGGGGCTTGGAGCAACCTAGTGTGGTGGGAGGTGTCCCTGCCCAGGGCAGGGGGGTTGGAACTGGATGATCTTCAAGGTCCCTTCCAACTCTAACCATTGTATACTGCAATACAGACCTCAGCAAGCAAAAAAACAACCTTGATGTGTAGATACATAGGATTTACACACCATGTATGTTCTAGATGGGCATCAGACCTTCCCTCTCATGCATTTAAGAAGCTGTTCATAGAATCATAGAATCATTGAGGTTGGAAGAGACCCTTGGGATCATCGAGTCCAACCATCTACCCTACTCTACAAAGTCCTCCCCTACACCATGTCCCTCAGTACCCCATCTAAACGTCCCTTAAACACATCCAGGGACGGTGACTCAACCACCTCCCTGGGCAGCCTATTCCAATGCCCCCTAAGGTGCCAAAGCACTGTGCTTTTATTTGAAATCAAATCTAGAGCAGATTAAATATAAAAGGAGGAAAAACTGTCCTTCCCTAAAAAGATCTGTTTTCAATTTTTTGTTTTTTTTTTTCCTTCCCCCCCCCTTCATTTGTTTTTTGGTTTTTTTTATCTCCCCCCCCCTTCATTTCATAAACGAGGGGCAGTGACGATGATGGGGATACAAGAGAGCAGCAAATGGACATCCACAGCTAAAGCTTTGTCATCTACTGACTCGTGGCATGATGGCAACCCTCTGGCAGGCAGACAGGGGCGAAACATCATCAGCTATTCATCAGGATAAGGCTTAGATAAAGCAGCAGCACGTAAGGCTGCCCAGCAGGTATCCTGGTGAATGCACTTCAGGAGCCCTCGCCACATGGCATCCTGCCACTAAAAAGCCAAAGAGATGCCTAGACAAATTCCCTCGGGTCCCCTCGGGGAGGCTGAGGCTGAATTTGTCAGCCAGAATTTTAGTCATCCACTCAACGGCTCTACTCCAGAAGCGTGAAGATGAATAGGTAGCTATGGTGAACTTTGAAGCCTTGCAGGTCAAAGTTCTCTCTCATTATCCCCACCATTTTCTATCGGCGTAGCTCCTCAGCATCCCAAGGGATGGGAAGGTTTGAGGCTCTTGAAAAAAAAAACCTGACATGACCAAGTCAGGAAACCGTAGGGTGCTTATGTACATATATTTTTCTTTCCCCGTTTTTCTCTCCCCCCACTTTCATGAAAAGAAGGGATAGGAATTTAGCTATTGTGTCAAACGTTCAGCCTGGTGGCATTAGTAGTCACTCATTTAGCTGGCACAATGCAGCAGTCATTTCAACACGCTGCCCTGCCAAACAGGCCTGACCCTTCCAGGGCTGCCTCCTCTGTAAGAAAGGTACTAATTTGATTTTTCACTCCTTACCCCAAAACCTTTCATTTTGTAGGCAACCCTTTCAAGGAGGATGGCAGTACTGATTTCTGCAACAGGGACACGTTCCCTAGATTAAAACCCCTGCCTTCATGTCTGACCTGCTGCTGAACATCATCCGACAGACGACCAAGAAAGACACTTCTGGCCAAATCTCAAGCTGTATTTAATGCAGTGCTCACTATCAACCATTAAATATTGTAATAGGTTCTTCCAATGCAGGTGTTATGTTCTGACTCGAATCGCATTCTGGAAAAACCAAATTATCTCCTAAATTCCCTACTTGTTGCCACCACTAGAGGCCAGCTCACCTTCCGTTTCACAGAATGACAACCGCAAAATTTTGTGTAACCAAAACGACCTACATAATTGAGATAACCCAAACCTAGCCAACAGGTCAGATTAGAGCCAGTTTTTTTACAAGTTTAGGAAACTGACGTTAGATGGTTAGCAAAAGTTACTATCTTCAATGCTATTTAATGGGAAGATTGGTAGGAATAAGGTCCTTACGTTTCAAAGCAATGTAAGAAATTATCCCAAACAGCAACGCAAGCACAGTATTAAAAATTCATCATTTTTATGGCTTGCTGTGAAAAAGTTACAGATCAACAAACCCTGGCAAAACCAAAGCAGAACCACATTATCAGAGTCCTGCGAGTGGGAAAACCCTTTCACTCTGCAAGAATGAACTCTAAAATAATCCCACCCATGAGGAAATTCTGACTTTGCTGCTTTTCTGCCTACAAAGTTTTTTGCACAATCCGTGCTGGGAGTGCAACTCACCTAAAATGTGTGGTCCTGCCTCTTCCTCTCACTGTGCTTTGCACAGGGCAGAGAAGATCCTACTCCTATTGCCTGATGGATGAAGAATGCTCTGCAGGGTGTATGTAATTATTAATTGACAATATTGAGGCACCATCCCTGGAGGTGTTCAAAAGGCAGGTTGATGTAGTGCTGGGAGGTCTGGTTTAGTGATGATGCTCCTTGTTTGTTGTGTGGGTGTCTATTTTTGTCAGTTAGGTTGATGGTTGGACAAGATGATCTTTAAGGTCCCTTCCAACCTAGAAGATTCTGTGATTCTGTGATAAATAAGTCTGTTGACAGTATGAAAATATACTGTGGAATTAGTGCAGTGATTCTTTGAAGGCTGAAGGCCATAGAAGGCATTATACCAGCGTAATTTAGAAGAGAAATCACATCATAGTAAGATTTTAACACGAGTGAGCAGAACCCCAACTACTCCTAGAGAGTGGGTTCAGTAAAGGTGTCTCAAGAAGCCCCCGAATTTAGTACGACATTTTCCTAAGTAGCTTCTTGCCAGCTAGAAGCTGAGGATGGTCCCTCACCACCACCTACCCACACACAGCCAAGGGAGAAGAACGTTACAAACCTCTCCCATCTACGCAAGGAAGTCTGAGCAAATGGAAATAGGGAGCCGTGTACCCTTTTCGTGTGGGTGGGTTGGGGGGGCACGGTGGGGGATAGAGGGAAACAATTACAGGCTAGTAATTACTTCTTCTTTAAATGGATTCTCTCTAATCTCCAATGGATTTACCTCTAATCTCAAAGTAATTACCTCTAATCTCAACGGATTCTCACTCTAGGGGAGACTAAGCAGCTGCAGGGAAGCCTACAGAGAAGGAGAACTCTATTGTCTGCGAGAGGCCATGAAAAACTAACACGTGTGCAGCAACCACCAGGAACAATAGAAGACTTTTACAAAGCCAGGAAGGGACTTGGGCACAGACAATGGCAGTTTGGCTCCTCCTTGCTCCATGACCCAGAGTTGGCCAACACAACCTGAGGGAAACTCATGTGGGAGCTCCATAAGGGCTGTCTCAACAGCATGAGGTATCCACGCTTCCCTTCTGTGAGCAACATCAATATACAATTCAGGTATTTTGGGACTACTTCACAGCAGAATTCCCCAAATTTCAAAGCACTAAAAGTGGCCAAAGAGGACAGACAGGCTTGTAGAGTTTTACAAAAACAGTGAAACCCTTGCTCCAAAACACAAGGGCTGAGGGACCAGATTTCTGATGGAAAGCAGCAATGCCTTGAAGTTAGTTGCCATCTAACTTCTTAAATAATTTTAAAGAGTCATGGATGTAACATCAGAAACTATAACAAAGTATTATTATGGCAGGATCTGAGACTATGAACTCTTGTGTCAAGCCAGAGAAAAAGTGCTAACATTCAGCCCACAGGGAACAGCAAATTGGTATGAACCTGATTGAAACCTTGATTTTCACTCCTTAAGGACAAACTGCCCAGGAGCTCAAAATGACACCAACAGGTTTGGAAACAACTAACTAACCCTTAAGTGTTACAACTGGCAACCCTCTGATTTTCATATGGGATATGATGGTAAAATATAAGACCAGATAAGACTCCCTTTAAGTGCTACAACTGGCAACCCTCTGGTTTTCATATGGGATACGATGGTAAAATATAAGACCAGATAAGACTCTGAAGAGTTTTTTTTGTATTTTACCACGTTTTTTTGTATTTTACCATTGCCTGTACTACAGAGCAAGTGGAAGAGCTGGGAATCTCCTGGGAGTTTCAAGACTGGGAGTCTCCACATTGGCTCTGTCCTTTGAATTGCTCCAGCATGGAATGAGCTCTGACAAATCACACCTTTCCTCCTGCGAATTCCTCTGGAATGAAACGAGCTCTGACAAATCACACCTTTCCTCCTGCTGGCGTGGCCAGGGCAGATGGAGTAGGCTGGTTCTGAGTCAGGTCACTGTGCTCCTTCCACCCCCAAAAATCTATCCAGAGACTGGGCTACAGGCACCGAGAGGGACAGATGGGATCACCAGGCAGAGACAACAATTGACACCTTACCATGAAAATGTTTGATGCCATATATTTTAATAGCTATGCCATTTTCAAAAGGCTGATCAGAATTATTTCTGAATAAACCATAACCACTGTAAAATACCAGAAACTTTCCTCACTCTTTACTACATCTCGGACACTTACTCTTAAATCACACCTTTCCTCCTGCTGGCGTGGCTGGGGCAGATGGAGTAGGCTAGTTCTGAGTCAGATCACTGTGCTCCTTCCACCCCCAAAACTCTATCCAAGGACTGGGCTACAGGCACTGAGAGGGACAGATGGGATCCCCAGGCAGAGACAACAACTGACACCTTACCATGAAAATGTTTGATGCCATATATTTTAATAGCTATGCCATTTTCAAAAGGCTGATCAGAATTATTTCTGAATAAACCATAACCACTGTAAAATACCAGAAGCTTTCCTCACTCTTTACTACATCTTGGACACTTACTCTCATAAAATTTTTCTGTTGTTTTTTAATCCTGGGATCAACCAGAATTCCATAAAAGCATCAGCACAAAAGAAAAGCTTAAACCTTCTCAGCTGCTTCTTGGGATGCAAGGGAACCCCTGTTCCAGGGGCTTCAAAGGAACCTGACTGTACTCACAGACTTGCACCCCTAATTTTATTTCAGATTACGTTGTTTTGAGAGGGAGAGGAATGAAGAGAGAAAGAGAGGAGTTTCTCGACCAGAAAGGGCTCAACTAAAACACGTCAGGACAAACTCACAAAACACTGTTTTTTTGGGACCTAACACTGGTGAACGTGCAGGCAGCACAGCTGTACTTACATGTAAACTAGGATGGTAGGTCAGCACTCCGTTGTCGCACAACGTCACGTATTTCTTCTTCCACTCTTTATTCAACGACTTGCCACTTCGCTTTAGCAGCATACCCTGGTAGAGGAAAAAAAAGAAAAAAAGATTAAATATTCTTTTGCCAATGCACAATTATTTAAGGCGCAGAAAGAGATAAATACAATTGCCATCATTTTTAGATATGCCTTCTCCTGAGAGTTACTCATTTTCCCCCGTTTTCCCACAACGCGCATTGTCTCCGTTGGCAGCTTTCGTGCTTGCAATTTTGGAGGAAATCTCCAGGTGCAGCTTTCATAAAGCAAGTCACATAAACAGAAAAGACTCTGTCAGGACTGGCTTTTATCCACCGGGTAGAGAAAACTCTTTTGCACTGAATTCCATGTCTCAGGAAAGCACATTTTCACATGACATAGAGTAAAGGTTACCCAGACGCGCTCCTAGTTGAGAAAGACACAGCCCATTTCCCAACCCTCTAAAATAAATGATGAACCCAATGTTGAGTAAGGATCCTACTGTGTGATGTTCACTCCCTTCAGCATGTTCCTGGTGATTCCTTGCTGTCCAGGCTCTCCACAAACAGGGAAGAGTGTATGTCTACGTTCTCATTCCCTGACACTGCAATGGCAATCCTCCTCCCTACTCATCGCGGCAAAAGACGACACCAATTCCAGGCAAGAGCAGCAAAATGGAAACAGGGAAAATATGAAGTTTTCAACCCTAAACATCAGTGATGAACGCTAACAATCAACAGTTGGGATAAAAAGCCATCACCGTCTTCAAATGGAAAAGGACTACTACTGCACACTAACCTGTTCTCTGCTTAAAAAAAAGGGAAGTCACTTAGAAAAGCAAAATATAACATGTTGTAGGCACGGCGAAGGTGGTAAATCAAGCCATGTTTTAGCAATGCACTTCCCTAGGAAATTTTAATTTACAAAACCAATTCAGAAGGCAATTCCTAAGGGCAAGTCACTTAGAAAAGCAAAATATAACACGCTGTAGGCATGGCGAAGGTGGTAAATCAAACCATGTTTTAGCAATGCACTTCCCTAGGAAATTTTAATTTACAAAACCAATTCAGAAGGCAATTCCTACGGAATTCACACAGTGCTGTGGTCACTGAAAGTCTTACTGAAATGTCCCAGTGGAAACACCATGTACAGCACCTACTGTGGGGACTCACTAGTTCCACAGATCAAGTTCAGATAAAAACGGATGCTTAAATTCATTTCATTAGATCATAACCAGGAATCTGAACTAATACAACCTTCAGTTCTCTAATTCCCATGAGGTTTTCCATGGAACTGAAAAGTGGGAAAACGTAAGATAGGAAGATGCGCTATCAAACGTGGTGCTTCCATCTCCCACACCGTTGTTTTTGTGAGTTAAAACCTTGAAAGCAAGTTATGCTGTTTTTTCATGAAACCTGCAGCTTTTACAAAGAGATCTCTCTGCAGACCCCATCCCAAAGCCACCAGGGGCCAAGAAGGCAGTTCTGCACGAGCAGAAGTCATCCAGAGCTAGGCAAATTTATATTCTCCCTCCGTTGCAGACGTTATAACTTGTCCCTCACGAACTAACAACTCTCCTTTTGGAAGCCGTGATGATCCCAGCGGAAAAAGCCAAGTTCACAACCCGCCTGTTCCCGGACACACACTTTTGAGTCAAAAACTTCAGAGAACAAACCGTCACGATTCAAAGCCATCGGGGGATGGGACCGTAAAGAAAAGCTCGCGTTGGATGACTGAATTACACAGCGGCACAAACTCCCGAACTTTCTGACCCTCTGGAGGTCAACTTGCTGTTTTTTGTGCCGTTCCTTGAGACAACTCAAACTTTTTCAAGAGAAAACGGGGTTTCTGAAACGCTTTTCTTACAAAAGCTTCTGTGAGTGCGAGTCGCACATCCCAATTATCGTCTTCCAGTGGTTAGAGACGTTGTGTTTTTTTTTTTTTTCTATTAAAAAATGAAAGCTTATTTCTGCCTTTGACTTGTATGTTTGTCTATAGCGGGTGAGCTGTCGCTTCACCTTCCAATCTTTCATACCTCACCTGTAGCACGTTCGCTGGCGTTTAGGGAGACCCAATACTAGTTATCGTTGTGTTATGGGGATCAAAAATTACTCTTTCCCTGCAGTGGTTTGTTCTTCAGACCTTTTAACTGGGGAAAAAGCTGTGAGGATCATGATGGTGATTCCCCTCTGGCTCCTTACCTTTTTTTTTTTTAAGTTTTAAAGAAAGCGATATATGTATATATTTCACACCTTTTAATCTGTCCCTTTGCTATACAGAAAACATGTCATTACTCACAAAATTTTCAATTCATGGCAATTATCAACACAATAAATAGTAAAATCCCACTGCTTTCCTGATTTTTACTACACAGAGCTTTTCCTACTACCTAGGTGTGAATTATGAAATTCTATTTTTGGGTCTAAATGAAGAAAACTATTCAAAACGGGGTTTCACCTTGATTTTAAAATGAAATTGTGTGCTTTCATGTAAAAGATAACACTCAGCATTAAATACGTACCATCTACCTATTTGTCCCTAACTAACAATCCATTTTCCTTAGGCACTGCTTTGGCAAAAAAAGAATAGATTTTTGTATCATGTGAGAATTAAAAATATCTTCCAGTACCTGCAGAGGAAGCTGCTCTGAATACAAGGAGCTAACTTAAACTGTTATGAAGCAGAGAAAGCCCATATAAACCACATGTTTTTTTTCCTCAAGGCCAAAGACCGCCACTTTGTCGGTGGTAATTATATAGAATGGTCTGGAGAAATGCTCTTAGTATCAGAGTTTAGATCAGTTATAAACGCACTTTAACATTAACTAAACTTAAAAAAAAAAAAAAAAAAAAAAACCCAGATATGACAAGAAATGTTACTTGAACAAAAAGAAAAAGCCCTTCACTTCAGTCACATTATGTCTACATTTAAGTCACATCAGATCCTCTGCCTAGGAAAGGAGACACGTGGGTTGTCGCTGACCTTTGGTACCTCCGAGGCAATTCAGAGGTAGCTGGGACACGTCTCCAGCCACACAGGTCCCCACCTATGCACAGATTGGAAAAATCATTACATGAACCGACTTCAAAATTCTGATTTCTTTGTGCCAAAATACTCTCTGCCTCAAATTATTATTCATCGCAGAACGTTATTGCTCTTAATTCGTATGAAATTCTTGCATTGCTGCAGACTTCCATCTGCAATTACAGCTCTGCAGTTTGGCTTAACTGACCCAAAGCCTCCAGATCCAACACTAAGAATGTAACACCTCCAATTTGCCCACCAACTGAAAAGGATTTCACGCTTCAAATTACATTTTTTTACCACCTTCCCCTCCAAAACTGCAATTCTGGGTCTAAAGGGAGGAATGCCTCTCCTTCCCGGGCCGCGTTAACTCTACTTTTAATGAGCCACAGGAAAAAGACTTCGACCAAGAGTGCACGAAACTTCCCTTCCTGGGTTTTGCTTGAAGAACTGCATCAGCCTCACAAAGCAAAGGGAGGAACAGTCTTCTAGGTCCCGCCAGCTCTTTATTAGTAATGTGTATGCTACGTCTAGTCCCAGGAGGTCATTGCAAGCCAAAAGCAATGTTAAGTGTACAAGCTTTAAACTACGCGAACCGACTTCAAAATCCTGATTTCTTTGTGCCAAAATACTCTCTGCCTCAAATTATTATTAATCGCAGAACGTTATTGCTCTTAATTCGTATGAAATTCTTGCATTGCTGCAGACTTCCATCTGCAATTACAGCTCTGCAGTTTGGCTTAACTGACCCAAAGCCTCCAGATCCAACACTAAGAATGTAACACCTCCAATTTGCCCACCAACTGAAAAGGATTTCACGCTTCAAATTACATTTTTTTACCACCTTCCCCTCCAAAACTGCAATTCTGGGTCTAAAGGGAGGAATGCCTCTCCTTCCCGGGCCGCGTTAACTCTACTTTTAATGAGCCACAGGAAAAAGACTTCGACCAAGAGTGCACAAAACTTCCCTTCCTGGGTTTTGCTTGAAGAACTGCATCAGCCTCACAAAGCAAAGGGAGGAACAGTCTTCTAGGTCCCGCCAGCTCTTTATTAGTAATGTGTATGCTACGTCTAGTCCCAGGAGGTCATTGCAAGCCAAAAGCAATGTTAAGTGTACAAGCTTTAAATAACTTACAAAGTTAATGTAATGAATGTAAGTGTTATCTGAAATCCATCACTCAGTGGCTTGCCGTAGCCTCAAGCTGTGATAAAACACCACTCATAAATTTATATTAAAACTCTGTTCGATAGCAATTATTTACCAACAAAGATTTATTGATTGCATTTGCTGTTGGAGACTGGGGGCCCGAACTGAGTCAATCAGCTTCTGTTGTTGAGCTTGGGGGCACCAGGAGAAGTTACAGACTGCCATCAGGCTCTGCATCCCAATCATTACTGCCAGAGCAGAAGCAGCTAATGAAAAGCCGCCAGCGCAGGATTGATTGGACTTCAGTAAAAAAAAAATATAAAAATAACCCACCTCAACACTGGCCAAGGGACCAATAGGTACGATACACACCGTTCATCTAATCAGCTCAATCTCACCACTCCAGATGCCTTCCCAGTGAGCTACAAACCTCGCTTGCTTAAACAAATGAAGACAAATGGTGAAACGATTACGAATGTCTTTTATGGAAATATTTCAGGTTTTAAGCAGCAGATCATCAGGGTTTTTAAAAAGCCACTTCTTTAAGTTGTTTAATACTGCACGGAACACGCTGGTAGGTGAGAGACCTTAATTTTTTCAGACAGGCTGGAGAGATGGGAGCAGCACAGGCTTTCATACTTCCCACAAATAAATGTCATCAAAACCCACATGCTGATGACCATCCAGGGACATCTAGAGCCACTGCTTGGCCCACAGAATCATACTGTGTGTGGAGCAACATACTTTGCACTCCCTGATGTGCTCCGTTTTAATTTTCTCACTTTCCCATGTATTATGGATTTTCCAGTGTATGGGTTTCACAAACCAGATAATACTAGTGACCACAGCTTAACTAATTGCACCTTTTTGCATTTGCTCCAGCTGTAGCACTTCTT